CTCCGCCGCGCACCTCCGCTCGCCGCTCGCCCGGCTCCAGCCGCCGCCGCAGGGTGAGTATCCGCGTCCGGTCGCCCGTCGCCCTCGCACCCTGCCCCTGCGGCTTCTTTCGTTTAGTTCGGATTTGGTTCTTGCGGCTGTTTTTATGATTACACCTAAAGACTCCATAGCCTCACTCCCACAGCTGCCCGCCTCCCACCTCGTCGCCCACTCCAAGCTCACCCCTCAAGCCTCAGGAGCGGGCGAGGGCTCCCCGAGCTGCCCTGGCCGCGGCTCCTCGTCGCTGCGTACAGTCCTTTACCCTGGCTTTCTGCTCTGGACCTCGAAATTCGGTTCTTCTACCAGGGCCCCCTTCTCCTGGCCCCGGGGCCCCCTCCTTCCATTCGGAAAAACCTCGCGGGGACCACAAACCCTCAGCTTGGGGAGGAAGACGCGCTCGACTCCGAGCAACCCCTTCACTGCATGCGGGCAGGGCACACTTGCCGATTTCGGGGAACCAGGAAGACGTCGTCATTTCCCAGCCCTCCACCCCCACCCCACACCCGGCCACCTCCCCAGCCCGTCTGAGAGCCCTTCAGGGGGGTGCGAGGCTTGTCTTGCTGGCCCCTCCGCTGGAGACTTAGGACCGTGTTTTTGCCTCCTCAATGTTACCAGGGACTTCAGCGCGAAATGGGGGGGTCACTTGTTTCAATTTGATCCACAGAGATCAAGATGAAACAGACAGATAGCAGATAAATAGCTTGATACTTGAAGAAGGTATGAAGACAGATGGGAGAAAGAGGAGGGAGCTGGGAGGGACAGACAGCTTAGGGACGATAAGATCGACAGACGAGGGACACCTCGACAGAGAAGGAGGGAGACAGACAGAAGATCCCAGTCTTCTAGATGGAGGCTTTTGAACTCGGATCCGCTGTCCGGCTGGAGCTGCCCCTTTGCCTAAAAATGGGTTTTCCTTTCCTACCGAGTTAGAAGCGGGGCCTTCAGGGTGGGGCTGCCTGGGCGGCAGGAGCGCCTGCAGCAGCGGGCCAGGTGGGAGCCTCCGAGTCTGAGGACAGGTGGCTGGCCCGGCCACCTAGAGAGCTCCAAGCATCACTCCCCTGGTCCTCCGGCTGCTAAGGTCCAGGCCACAGCTGCCTCCCTCCCTGGGCCAGCGAGCAAAGCGTGGGATGGGCAGCAACTTTTGACCTGGACCCTTGTAGTGGCTTTGGAGACCAGCCAGGATTCCCTTCAGCCCAAATGAGCCAGGATAGCCCAGAACGAAGGATACCCAAAAAGGAGATGCCCCCACCCAGAAAAAATGAGAAGCCCAGAGAGACTGCACTTGGCCTGAGCGAAAACGGCGTATCTGAAGGAGGAAAACTTAGGGAGAGGGCAGTTAAAAGCGAAGGAAAAGTGGCTCCTAAGAAACTTCCTTGAGAACCTCTCCGTCTCACATGCTGACCCGGATGGAAACCAGCTTTGGCCTGGAACGCAGCTAAAAATGCAAAAAAATGTCATTAGGAACTGGGTGACCCTGGTCTCACTGATGGCTGGAAAGAAAGCGATTCCTATTTCCAGCCGGACTCTTTCTGGCGGGGCTCCGGACCTGACAGGAGAAGCTCGGGTTTGTGGAAACCAGCGCTGTTATCGGCTTGGCACCGAGCTGGGTGACCTGGGGGCCGCCCTGGGGCCGGGCGCACAGGGCGTGCTTTGGAGAGAGTGGGGTTCAGCACTGCGAACAGCGGTCGCCTCTGCCTACTCTCAGCCCCCACCG